GTGTGTGTGTGTGTGTGTGTGTGTGTGTGTGTGTGTGCGCGCATGTGTGTGCGTGTGTGTGTAAAACCTGACAGATGTGTTTGCTTGTCCTTGTGTCCAGACTTTTCATTTCAAACTTGCTTCATATTTAACCGGAGCTTGTCATTGCATGTGCCTTTACAGACACTGCATATTGCTGTACACATATGGAGTTGTGTGTGAGAGAGTACTTATGTGTGTGTTGACACTGCTCCCTGTCAAAGGCGATTTGAGGCCGGTTCAGTCACTGTCAGGGTTGAGGCCAAGCCTGTTGTGGGCCGTCAGTGTTTATCAGCTTTGTTAGATCCTGTCATCCACCAGACTCAGAGCAGAACACTAGGGACAGATCATCACCTCCTCCAGCAGGTAAAAACCATTGAAGTGACAGGAAAGGACCTCCACCCACACAGCAACTTGAAATCAGAAGATCCAAACTGTTAGCTGCTCTCAGTGTTAAATGAACCCTCGGGGCTAAAGGGAAAGGTTTGCACTCTTACGCTTTAGCAGTTTTAGAATGAAATGCATATCATATCAAGAGACTTAGAGGTTTGAATCTTTACCAGCCTATTGCTATTGTTGTGGGTTTCCTCTGTATTGTGCTGTGTCACCAATGGTTTGTTACAGAAATGGTTTGTTACTGGTTTGTGGTCCATTTTGATGATTAGGGCAAACATGACTATCACACCAACAGGAACTGAATGGGGATGGACAGCTCTGGTGTCAAGCTGGCATTGCTGGCTGACAGCTGGCATGGCAAGTAGTTTGTCAACCAGATAAGGACCAGGGGTCGGATTTATAAAACTGGCGTACGCACAATTTGAGCCCAGAAACTTGCGTACGCCACTTTTTACGCCAAGGTTGTGATTTATAAAATACAAACGTGACGTGAAAAGGTGCGGTGCCTCACGCCAGCTTTGACCCATGCGTACGCTCATTTTGGAGACATGAAACTGCAACACAGATGGTGAAGTGAAGAATTAGAGCCACACTGTGTAATGATCACTGTCAGATATTTAATTTACCTTCATAATCAGACTTAGATTCTTATTCAACTTTATCATCAGCTTTCTTAACAGTAATATTTATGCTTCTGCTTTTGAGCCATGAGGACCTTTGAAATACAAAAACTTAAATCTTAAATAAAAGTTCCCGTGCGCAAATCCCAGACAGCAAAAGTCACGCTTTGGATACACGCGCAGGGCTCATTACCTCGCCTCGCCAGTGTTTGTCACGCGCGGGGGGTGCGTGCGTGCGTGCGTGCGTGTGTGCGCGCGCGCGGGGCGGGGGTGTCTGCAGCGGATAACAGAGCAGGCAGGAGGGGGTGAGGACGAGGAGAAGAGCGGTGGACTTACTTTTAATTTGATCTGACTTATTTAACTTTATTTTTATTGTTTTTATCGTCCTATAGGCTCTGATGGAAAATTAATTTGAAGCTGAGGTTTTTTATTTTTAATTTTTATAAAGATTGTTGGATTACTCTACAGCAAAATGAGGGGAAATCTGTCAGTTACAGACATTCTGTTCACGTGAGCAGCTGTCAGTC